ATGCTGATATATGAGTTAGGCGCTTTCCTACAGCAAGACATCCGCGCCAAAATAAATACAAAAATATACAAAACATACAATACAAAAATATACAAAACATACAATACAAAAATATACAAAACGTACAATACAAAAGTACACTAAACATTCAATACAAATATACGATACAAAATTACACAAAATACACATACACACATATGCCTACATACATAATATAATACATCCAGATTAATACATGCCTACACGCATGCCTGATACAAAACGATACGATACCATCAGCGAAACGATACGAAACGATACGATACCATCAACGAAACGATACAAAGCGGTATAAAATACCAAATGCCAGAATACCTCTTGATTGTCCCACTTACAATTCAACGCTAAATAACGATGCTAATAACCTAAATGTATTTATCGCGTGTCTCTACTATCAACAAACACACACACACACACACACATACATACATATAAATAAACCAGAATAATAATGATAATAAAAAATATAATATAATAATAATAATATATGCAGTATGTAATGAATTAATACCGATATATTAAAGCTTGCGATGTTAATAAACCTGGACTTATTGTCCGCTTCTTTAATTCACACACACGAACTTATCATAAATATTGGACAGCGATAAGATTTATTATATTATATTATGACATAATTTATTATTATTCGTTATAATTTAATTATATAAATGTCTATTTATATTCTGTAATGTATAAAGTTACACGAAATTACCTTGATGTAACTTTAAATACCTGAAAATGCATGAAAAATAGGCAGCAAACTAAGAAAGGAATGTACTTTGTATATTTTTGTACATGAGAATTCATGTATACTTTGTATATTTCGGTTTAATATTGTATTTTATTGTATACTTTTGTATTTTTTTTTGTCGCACTTTGATATTATTTGTATGTTTTGTATTTGTATGTTTTGTATTTGTATGTTTTGTATTTGTATGTTTTGTATTTGTATGTTTTGTATTTGTATGTTTTGTATTTGTATGTTTTGTATTTGTATGTTTTGTATTCAGGATTTGCATGTTCCACTACTCCTTTTGAGATGTACGTATTTGTGTATTTGCAATTAGTTATAAACTTAACGCATAAAGACACATGAACTAGAATAGGATGGATGAATCTATGAAGAAGAAAAAGAAGAGAGAGAGAGAGAGAGAGAAAAGAGAGAGATGGAGAGGAACATAGAGAGATATATATCATAATAGATGGTTAATTAGATATGTCTAACTTGCGGTAAATTAAATGAATGAAATATTTATTAGCATCAGAACACTTTGAA